CGTCCGCAAAATTTTTTGGCATTTTTGACGTCGCAATCCGGATCACCCCAAAAATGGTTTGCTATAACACACAAAAATCGTCGAAATGGGAGGTATGCGCGCTTCGGGGCTCGTTTAACCTTTAAAATGGGTCAAAATGGCCGTGAGGGAAACCGTATGGATATTCAAGGTCTTGACGAACGTCCACAAATTTTTTTGGCATTTTTGATGTCGCAATCTGGATCACTCAAAAAATGGTTTTCTATAGCACACGAAAATCGTCGAGATGGGGGTATTCATGCTTCAGGGATCGTTTGATCATGAAAATGGTGAGCGAGATGAGATTTGCTATGGAGTGCAATTATGCAAACTTTGCTATAGCATACAAATATGAATTTTATGTTTGCTATTTGTGAAAATTGTCATATCGCAAATTAGAATGTATGTATCATTTGATCTTAAACTAGTGAGATTTAGTTGTATAAAGTATACAATATATATATACACTCGATGCAAATATTTGTGTTGACGTTTTCCATTCTTCTTCTTTTTTTCCCATTTCACCCACAAATCATGAAAATAAAAGTGAAGACCAAAAAACGAAAATAATGGATCAAATTTCTATACTTTTAATCTTCCATTATTCACGTAACACCCCTACTTCAAATCAAAATTAGAGAAAAGAAAATATATACAAAAAAAAGACCATTTCCTTGAATTATTTTTTTAGTTTTGACAAGAAAAAAAGAAATGGGGAATAAGGAAAAAACAATTGGTGTGGCAGTGGATTTTTCAAGGAGTAGCAAGGAAGCATTGAAATGGACAGTTGAAAATTTGGCTGAAAAAAGTGACACAGTTTATTTAATTCACATCAAAACTCACACACTCAGTGAGTCCCGTGACCAGCTCTGGGCAAAAACTGGTTCACGTAAGTACCTTCCTTTATTATCAATATAATTTAATCTGTTATATATACGCTAAAGAGGGTCAAGGGTTAAGTTCATCAATTGAATTCCCTTGCCTAAAATTAATAATGTGTTGCACAAATAAAGTAAAAATATTTTTTCTTTTATTTCATATGAAATCTTAGAATTTGAATTTGAATATTAAAAATAATCTTTCCTCATAAGTAGATATCCTAGGGATAGGTGTGATACCCTAATATTTTTCACCTTATCTGAATTTATGACTTCGCCACTAGTTATAATATTTTAGATAACTAGTTTAATTATGTGCTTGTAGTTATATTTAGATTACTTTTTGTTTGTATCATATAGGTGATGTGATGAAGTAAAAAAAAATTATATTGTCAATTGATATTAAATTATTTTTATTTTTGTTTTTTCACTTTATGATGCGATTTTAATTTATTTTGTTAGCTCTAATTCCATGGGTGGAGTTTAGAGATCCAGAAGTGATGAAGTATTATGATATCAAAAAGACTGATGTCCAAGTTGTTGATTTACTTGATGCAGCTACTAAGCAGAAACAGGTACTATTATTTTGCATCTATTAATTAGTTGTCTATTTTTTCTTATAACTCTAATCATATACAGAAGAAATTAATGACAGATAAAATCTCGTATCTAAATAATAAGAATCTCATGCTAATTCGATTTGTCGTACAGATAAACATTGTGGCAAAAGTGTATTGGGGAGATGCAAGAGAGAAAGTATGTGACTCTATTGAAGATCTCAGGTTGGATTCTTTGGTCATGGGTAGCAGAGGCCTAAGTGCTATCCAAAGGTACTTTCTATCATTATTAAGTAATTTCTATAGTAAAATAGTAAAATCTATTACTAATTCTATTTAGCAATAAATTACCAAAAAATTAGAAATTCATAGCAGATCAACTGATTGACTACATGAATTTTCGCCTGAAATTAAAACAAAAATGTTAGTTTCAAGCTACTTGGTGATAAAAAAAAATATGTTATTCCCTATGCATGTTGTTTTTTATATTTATATTCCATATAAGTACTTCATTAACTTTTGGATATTTTTATTTTTTGAAACAGGATAATGTTGGGAAGTGTAACAAATTATGTATTGAACAATGCAGCTTGTCCTGTGACTATAGTTAAGGATCCTGATTTCCACAAGCATTGATCACGACTAATTCCTCCAGCATGTTCATTCAATAAGAATGTTTTTTACACATCTTTTACTATTCGAGATTTAACATCTATACACCCACATACAATATAATATAAAGAACTTTTACATAATCGGAATAATATAATTGCTAACTGGTTATAGCAAGTTATTATAGGTTTACTGATATTGAAATGTAGGGCAGGTAAAATGAACTTCTTAGTAATTAATCCTATGTTGTGTGTGAATTACTTGCAAAATCTATTGTAGTGTCCCAACAATCCTAGCTTATCGAAATCTCACTGGTTTAGGAATTAATTACTTAGATACATATTAATTTATAATATTATGAATCATTACTAGATTCTGGTGCGTCCAGATACACCCAATTACATGTATCTGGGGATAAATGAAGTAAAAATTAGATGTAAATTATTCTTCATACACATAAATGAATTCGTATGTATCTTGGATACAAAGACAAATCTTGTCTGCATCCCTTCTATCTCACTCTCCACTCTCCTATGTATCTAGTATCTAAATATATATATATATATATATATATATATATATATATATATATCCATTGTGACTCACGTGAATATGACTGACCTCTCTCCTATTCTTGCTCGCCTCTCTCCCTATTTCAATGTATCTGATAGCATAAAATATGTTTAGGTTTATCTGGTATGAAATTATGACTTAAAATATAATTATTTTAAATTATAAAAAGAATTAGTAAAAATATCTGTGTAATTAAAAAGTTTCTCTTAAAACTAACACCACCTTTTTGTCAGGGTTTAACCCATTCTGGGCTCAAAGGACATAAAAGCTCAATATTTCAATGTCCAGCCTTATTATAGAAGTGGCCCAATACAATTTAGTTTGCAGTAAAAGCGCTAGCCACGTGATCAAAAAATAGATACCGCGTATATTAAACGAAACTCTCTTTTTATATATATATATATGTGTGAGAAAAACTTAGTGCATCGAATAATCTTCTCACATTTTTTCTTATTTTAAATTGAACAACCGAAATTATGATCTAGACCTTATTAAATGAAATGGACAACTTTATACCTTCCAAGGAAAGCTAAAAAAAAATAAAGTGAAAACCTTATCGTTGGTGGTGTTTTAAAGTGTTAGATGCATGGGGAGATACTATGATTAATAGTATCCCAAAGAAATAAATAGCAGATTAAATATTCAGCTCCCAAAATATACTATAATAATAATATCATTTTCAACAATGGCCCATTTATGGCAATGTTTATTCCTGTGTGAATGTCACCTATATCATTTTCCTCAATACTTCTCTTAGCTTGCCATGTCTATCATAAAAAAAGAAAGAGATATACAATTGAAATATATAAAAAAGAACACATGTTCTCAGTGTTTTAAATTTTAAGTTAGGTGATAATCAACCAATTGAATTATTACAACTTTCATCTTTATAAATGCAATCATATTAAAAAACGCATAAAATTTCAATTTCAGATCATAATTTTATATATTGTGTAATATCAATAACTAAATTGCCATATGAACTAATTCATATTCTCTCTCTATATATATACACACACGTGTCTTTAATTCTAGAGATGAGTCTGCACCCGTTACTAGAAATTATAAGTTTTTTTCAAATAATTTTACATTTAACTTGTTCATTCATGGAGTATTCAGTCACACTATAAGATCGTGCTTATGTACTTATCCTTTATTTTGTACACAATTAAGTTACCTAAAATCCAGTTATACAGCTTATTAATGAGTAAATTAATTATATATCCATTGTTTTCTACTGCAAGTACGAGGAAATAATTTGAAAAAAAGATTGATAGGTAATTTTATTTTGATGGGTCAAAATGTAAATTAAACATGTCAAATTGTTACACACAGTCGATTAACAAAAGCATCTTTAATAATTATTATTATTTTATTTTATTATATAAAAAGATATGAATATAAAAAAATAAAAAAAAAAGGTGCCCTAGGATTGGGGGAGCTTGGAGATACGGAGCGGGACCACTGACCAAACTTGACATTCCTGCAACTACAAGTTTCTGCTTTGTGGACGTCTCCACTTGGTATTTATATTGCTTCGACTCAAAATAAGTGTTATTTTAATTTATTATATATTTGTTGAAAAAATTAATAATAAATATGGATAGGTTAGAAGTATCTTTTTAAAATACAATGCTATAATAATAAAAAGAAGAAACTAGTTACTTCTTTTGTTTACTTCTATTAATTGATATTTGGTATCAGACCTAATAAAATAATTTAAGAAATAAGTAATTAATTTTAAGAATAAAACATGAAAAGAAAAATGTCTTTATTTATATGTTAAAAATGATAAGATATAACAAAAAAATATTTATAAAATATAAATAAATAAAAGCGAATGAAAAAAATACTAATCTTTGATGACACTTCGAAAGGAAGACAGATATTTATTTGTTTCATTGTTTGGAAGTATTAAATGGGACCCTTTTAATTTGTGAAGGAAGGGTTCTCATATGACCCAAAAAAAAATAAAAATTAACATCCTTTTTTATCACTTAACCTTAGTGCTGGCTGGTGGCCTTGGATTTGGCTGCATTTCAGTTTTGTTCTCATCTTTGTATATACCTTACTACTAAAGTAATAGAAAATATGAAATTAACCATAAATTTTTTTAGTGATCTCTATCTAGCTAATTCATTGCTAAATCAAATTACATATCATAATTTTTTATTATTTAGCTATAAAATTATATCCATCATTTGTTTGTTAGTAAAGAGTATTATACTCGAAGTTGAAATTGTAATTTCAAAAGGAATTATCTATCAATATTATAATTTTGTAGTGAAGAATTTGAATCTCAATTGATACTCGCTTAAAATAGTTGTAATTTCTTCATCGTTTAATCAGTGATTTGATGGGTTTGAAGTCGAAAAAATTAAGAACATTTCAATAATAAGTATTTTATCGTTTTGTTATGTTAATCCGGCGCGAATACAAATTAATAGAGCAAGAATTAATGACTTGTATCCCTAAACTCCAAATTAGTAGTATTTGTCACCCTAGGCACTCTCCCATACGTAATTCTTTTGTATATTTTAGCTTTCATCATTTGAAAAATAAGCAATTCATTTATTTCTTTGCAACAATTATAACAGAAGTGCTGTCTTCTCAAAAGCATCGTCTCTTCTATTTGTATCGATTGTTGACAAAGATCGAAATAGTTTTTTTTCTATAATTAAAATTTAAGTGTGTAAAATGAAAGTAGACAAAAATAACATTTGATACTTCAAATAGGAAAATAAATTCTCAACATGATAGCATAGTCTAATACTGTAGTGATAAAATTACGATATTCAATATTAACTCTCCCTATACATAGAGAAAGTTAATTTTATGCATCATTCAAAATTTATTTAATTATTTTATAAGATAACCATAGTGAACTTCAATTAATTGAGTAATCTTTTTTTACACGACTCCCTTGACCCAAGTCATCTTAAAAATTCAAAATGAACTTTGAAAGTTGAATATTGTATTAGGCCACTGAAATAAGCAATAATTATGTAAGAGCCCTTGTTCAAGCAAAGGCCATCACAACAACAAATTGATAGTGACATGCCTAATCTATAATCATATATTTATATTTTCTTTATTAAAATTTATGAAATGTTGTTTGATTTATCATTAAATTTAACTAAAAAAGAGAATTGTAAATTGTTGATCTAAAGTAAGTAATAAATATGGTGTTAATATAAATCATCTTATTAAGAATATAATGAATATTTTAAAATTAAATTATTACTAAACAAAAAAGTTGTATTATTTTTTTTAATACAAACTAAAAAGAATTTACTATATGAATTGATTTAAAAGAAAATAGTTAATTTATCATTACATAGATTTGACTTTGATTTGTTATTTAATTACATAATTTAGTTGCTTTATTCCTATTTTTTAGTTGTAATTTTGCCAAGGTAATTCAAACATTATCCAACTAAGAGAAGATCTCAATAAATATCACCAAACTAGAAAAATCTAAAAGCTTAGGTAGTGATATTATAGCTACAAAATTTTCAAAACTTGGTGTGGTTATTTTGTAATTGGCTCGGAGACGGCTTATGAATGCAAAACTTTTGTATAAATAATATTTTGTTTGATAATGAACTGTGAGGTAAAATAATTTACGTATAAAATTAATACAATATTTGATTTGTAATTTTAAAATTTACATAACTAATATACATATGAATAAGCGGGGTGGACACAACTTAAGCTAAATCAAAATTCAAATTTTTTTAATATCTAGATTGTGAATTTTATTTTCATAATTTATGAATTTTACTAAATATCGAATTTCGAGTATTTAAAAATTTCATTTTTCTATACAGTATATTCGGTCTACCTATACTATATGTGTCCATACTAATAAGTACAATTTCCAAATGTTCCAATAGACTAGTACCCAACCTTTCTATCCATTAATTTATACTCTTAAGTCGAATGTAAGAATTTTCTTCTAAATGGAATACATGTATTCTTCTTTACATCTCACTCTCACGTCATGCCATAAGTAAGTAGAACTTAATATATGATATGATAGGTACAATGACCTCAATTCTTATTAATTGTAAAAAGTTGTATAATTTAGAACAAAAATAAATCAAAATCGTTAATACTTATTATTAAAAATATGCGAATCAAAATTTTCAAATTCAATCGGAAGTATCTATAGGCCTACCAAACCATCCATGTGGGTTGATCCATCCCTTACACGACTCCCGTGACTATATCATATGCACCAAACTATTATATTTTCGAAACAAAATTGAAATATTATACTCATAAACAATAATTATGTTTTAAGAGCCCTTGTTTAAGCAAAGCCCAACAAAAGCAAATGTCACTATATTTGACATTGACAATGACAGTAAAGGCTCTTCATTTAAGCAAATGCCCATAGCCCACCAAAATACTTCTTGTGTTGTTTCTTTGTCTGCTTTTATGGCCTCATTGCCATCATTGTTCTCATTAGCTCACCTTCCTTTACTTCACAACGCTTGTATTTTTGCATTTAATCATTGCCCACCTTCACTCTTCTAATCAAGATTCTCTTTTTTTTTATAATATTTTTGAAGAAAAAAAATTGACCCCATTTC